GATCTAGAGTAAGGTTTATGACACCATCTGCATACAGTCAGCCCTCTATGGAAGGTACAAGCCTTTGTTATTGCAAGATATGGGTTATGTTGCGACACAATGAAACACAGCCCTTCTGCATGAATACACAATGCCTCACAACTGTGTACAAACAAAGGCGGAAATAAACAAAGGTGCCATGCTCAAAGAGACACATAATCTGCATGCACGCGTACAAACAATGACTACAATCCACTCAGCCAGGTACTATTCTGTGCACTCCTGTCAACAGCTACCTGACTCAGTGGTCTGTCACCATTGTCACCCATTAGCAAAGCGAGGGTAGCACCATGGGCTCTGGGACAATGACTAAGTACAGACAATGCATCTACACAGTTTGGGTCTGTTCCACAAGTTTCAGTCAGGTTAGAAAGATAATGAAGCCACAATTTCTCAAATGATTTGTGAAAAAGAAACCTGGCTGCAGAAGTCGACCCAGTGGTTGCTTTTTAATGTACCCCGGATTTTAACAAATCTGGGGTAAACTGCATTCTGGCAAGGAGCAATCTTCAAAAAGATCTAAAATTAGAAACACTTATATCCACTGATAAATTCAAGAGCATTGTGGTGACAGAGACATGAGCTTGTTTTTCTTAAGAGGCCATTATGTTTGAATAGTTGTTGTTTTATTGTGGATTTTTGTATTACATGTTCTATTGTTGCATTTTAAATGTGTCTTGATTGGCTGCTACCTCGGCCAGGCCTCTCTCGTAAAAGAGATTTTCAATCTCAATGGGACTTCCTGGTTAAATAAACGGTTAAATAAATAAAGTCTGACAGCAGGAAACAAGACCACAGACAAGAACAGTTATAAATTCATATAGAATTTATTATTAAATCATAGTATACTAAATATAATCAATCACTATGCAGAAATATATACATCTCATAGAATATTTTGATGTAATACATTACAGAAATAGTAAAATAAATACTATAAAGCATAGTTTAAAAACTCTAAAAACAGTTTATTTTGTAAGGCTTATAGGTTCTGAAACAAATGTTTAATTAGCCATTTGATGGAAATACAACACTACCAGCATTCAAGTCAGCTAAACTAATATTCTGGAGGTAAAAAGCAACGTCAAAGCAAATCAAACAAGAAGAACGTATAATTAGTGTCTGAACATCTGAAGTAACGGTAACTGCCTTGTGTACTACGGAACAATGATTACAGTGCCTTTAAATAAAGTCCTCCACACTAAAGTATGATACTGGGACTACATGTGATAGACCAGCTTTTATCATATTTTATCATATCATATTTCTCATACATTCCCATTATTTCACAAGGGTATTCGGTATACCAAGATACTTGTGCAAAAAAACAATGTAAGTAACAAGAAACATGTACGACATTGCACTGATGTGTTTCTCATATACAATTAGCTTCTATTTAGAGGACCTGACGACACAAGTTGCCAGGGCGGATATTGACACAACAGTGGGGTGAATGAATCTGAGGTGCTGAATGAAGTCATGTGGGTCATGAATTGCTTTTCTAGTTGGAAGAAGTCATTTCAAGATTAAGTTACATGTGGCAATACTTCCAAACAGAGGATTTTTTACTTGTCCTGTAATGTTATCCCCATCACTCGCAGTCACCTGTTCCGCTAGTAGAGACTGACCTCTAGTGGCTTGTGCTGTGCACTACAATACATCCCCTCAATACAGCATCTCTGTGTCAGTTTAATAGAAAGAGGAGCATCCGTATTTCTAATACCAGGGCTGCTCCCTAGAGTCGACCAAACATTAGTCGATCAGAAAGGTCATTAACAAAGATTTCATTAACAAAAAAACAAAAACGTGAAACTCTTAGTAGGAGCTGCGCCTTGTCAAAATAAATCAAAACCTATATGACTGGACCACGCTTGTATTTCTCTGTACTGTAGCACAGTGTTAACAATGTTACTGATACTATTCTTTCTCAGACCTTGAACTCAAACCATTGTGTTGCCCCGCCCAAAATATATCAGTTAATAATTAAATTCATATCGTAAACATGCGGGTGACTAGTTGACTAATGGCCCTAAATGACGACTATTGGTCGACCTGGAAAGTTCTGAGTCGGGGGCAGCCCTACTAAATACCTCAGTATACTGTAAATTGCTGCACTACTGCAAATTATTCATTTAACTATACTGTACTCTTTAAAAATAATGGGTAAGACCAGAATTTTATGAACTGATACATGTTCCTAGTCATAATAATCGCAGCAAATTGATATAAAAATTAAATAAGCTCCCATAGGAAAGTCCTTTTTCCAGCCTAGAAAGATTTCAGATGTCACACTGTGCCATCCCTGCTCTACATATTCCTCCTGGAATCTGTGATTGACTTCTTAAAGAAGAGAAATATCAAAACCAACTTACATCACTGTCAAATGAAGTGTCACATTAGATCCGATTTAACAAAACAACAACGTGCAAACTCAAGAGTTCAGTTTATTAGTGACTTACTAGTTAAAAGGAAGAGCTATAATTGGAGGCAAGTCTGATGATGCAGCTGTGCTCGACAACAAGAACACAAACAGCAGCATGTGAAAAAAAAAAGCGAGGAAGAGACTGTGGGATGTTAAATAGCAGTCTGGCAGCACTAACTGCCTTTCTTTTCTGGCTGTATTTCACCCAATTAAACATCCCCACAACAGAGGACCGCAGTTGCACCGAGACTTCATCAGTCATGACAGAGGGGAAACTCCTGGCTAAATGCTAAAAATACAGAATGATTTATACCAGACACACACACACACACACACACACACACACACACACACACACACACACACACAGGCTGCTGGGCTACAAACCCACATCCCCTGAAATAAAGGTATGTCTGGGATTTCCCACAAACATTAACACATTGAGATCACCTTTGATTCAATATGCCGCTGGGTCCAGCGCTGCATGAGGCGACCTTTTAACACAATATTGCTTTTAGCACAATATCCATTATCTCTTTGTCGGACCATCCTCTGTAAACCCTAGAGATGGTTGTGTGTGAAATACGTCTGGCACCAACAACCTTCAAAGTCACTTAAATCACCTTTCTTCCTCATTCTGATGCTCGGTTCGAACTTCAGCAGGTCGTCTTGACCATGAGAGTTGCTGCCACGTGATCGGCTGTTTTGTTATTTGCATTAATGAGCAGTTGAACAGGTGAAAGTTTTGACAATATTGCCGATATTCAGGAAGTGTTCATATTGAAAATCCCGCACTCCTTTGATGCAGTTTCACTTCTCATCTTTCCTCTCTAGGAAGAGGAAGTTATCTAGCAATCCTTGTATGCATCTCTTTCATCTCATTTGTTTAACTAAAGTGGCAGCTTTCTGACGCTTTTTGTACTCTTTCGCAGCAAAGTGCCAACACTCCTATTTCAGACTGCTGCGAACACTAATTAGATGCTTTAATAGCGACGTTAAGTGCGAGCCAAGATGACAGAGACGCCTCCTACTGAGATAATGAAGAAATCAGCGTGTGGTCTTTAGAGTAGGGATAACGGTCATGTCTTTGGTGCCTTATTAAAGTACTGTTAGACTTAAAATTGATTTTAAAAATCATTAGCTATTGGGTTGACTTTTGTAAGAAGCACCCTACTTCGGATTCATACGCACACTCACACCTGAGAGCTGCCCAGTTCAAGTTGCTGGTTACTGAACAGCTCTAATGGAAAGGGAAGCTGGAGGGTAAAGTTAAGGCACTTCTAAAATATTGTTGAGAAATTATCAGCTGAATAATAATGGATATTACCATGTAATATATTAGAGGAGACAGGGTGACAGAAGAAAAATAAAATCAAAAATCACAAAGGAATAAATGATTCATGAATAAGAATGCTGGGTTGGATTTAGGTGTATTAATAACCGGGCATAATGAGCAGTTAGGAATGAGATCCCTGAGCAAATCTTACAGCATCTCTCTGTTTACAAGTGAACTCTTGTAACCAATTTGGGAATATTATTATTTATCTTCATACATATATTTTTGTTGACTTTAATGTCTGCAGTGCCTTTCTACTAAACACATTTTGTTTGCCAGACAAAAGTGCGTATTTAAGTGCTAATACTGCTTATTTGGTTTTTAGTTGTACTGTCAGCACTACAGATGTATCAAAGGGACAGTCCACCCCAAAATCAAACATACACATTTTTCCTCTTACCTGTAGTGCTTTTTATCAGTTTAGATTGTTTTGGTGTGAGTTGCTGAATGTTGGAGATTTCGGTCGTAGAGACGTCTGCTTTCTCTCCAATATAATGGAGCTAGATGGCACTTGGCTTGTGGTGCTCAAAGTGCCAAAAAATTACATTTGAAAAACTCAACAGCAATGTCTCTTTCCAGATATCATGACCCAGTTACTCAAGATAATGGCGGACGCCATCAAAAGCACCAGGATGCTCTCTTGCAGTTTTCTTACAAAATATAATGCAACAAAATTCACACATATCCCACATAATCATGAGCCAGTAATTTGTTTATGACCCATGTGTTTGGGAAGGCTGCAATCATGTGACCAATGCACTCACAAGAGTAAAGAAGGAGGGTTGCGTTGGTGGATGGGTCACAAAACACAGGACTTTCCCCCTGGAGACCAGTGTTCGGAAATGTGTGAACTCGGAGTCATTTTAAGCTGCATCGTCACCATGTTTCTTTTCCTAAACCTAAACACAGTAACTTTACTTGTTTCAAATCTATCCTCTGTAACTTCACGTTAAGAATGTGACAGTATACATGGGGCCCTCATACTTCTCTTGTCCTTGAGTAGATGCATGCTTCCTTCTGCGCGGTCATACATTTGGCCAGTGTAGTTCTGTAGAAGATAGTTCCTACATGAAACTGCTCACAACAAGGTCTGTGGATTATCTTCAGTAACTAGTTCATTAGACATTGCTGTTGAGTTTTTTTGGCACTTTGAGCACCACAAGTCGAGTGACATGTAGTTCCATTATATTCAAGAGAAGGCAGACATCTCTATGGCCGATATCTTCAACACTTGACAACTCACACCAAAACAATCTAGATAATATACAGCACTCCAGTTAAGAGGACAAATATGTACTTTTGATTTTGGGATGAACTGTCCCTTTAAGTACTTTTTGCAGATGCCCATTTGATAGCGCCTAGTACATACTAATATGTAGTTTACTTTTAATTCAATCTATTATTATTACCAAGTTATGTGACACAGTACGAATGGTCCCAAAGCAGTAAACCTCTCTCTTTGGCTATTTCACTCAGGTTACAATACAGTGAAGGGAAAATGGACTGCTTCACCATGGCAAAATTCAACTTTCAGTCCCATTTATGTTATCTATATATTAAGGACAAAACAGGAAATCTGTGTTGAATACTTAGTTAGCTGCTCAGGTTCCAGGGAGCCGGATATGGTTTTGGGGCAGCAACAGTTTTTCCTTTCTCCTATTTCCTCTAGTGCTCATTTACACAAAAATAAATGCATAACAATGAGTTCCACAGGTTGACTCTCAGGAATCAACATGTATAGATGCACATAATTCAATTTTGAATTCAATCATAAACTCATAACTGACTCCTACTAAATTATCTTTCTATATTCCTGCTTTCAATTCTCCAAAAAGCTTAGACCTCCTCAAAGGTTTGCATTTAAGTAACAAGTAAGATTACAGAATAAATCAAGAACATATGATAGTGAAAAAAAAGAATAAATAGTTACGCCACAGTATTCTGTGTCGCTCCTCCTTTTCAGCTCTTGTGAGAGTTGACGTACCACTTTCGAAGTGCTACTCCACTTGTGCTCACCACTACGCACAGCGCCCCTCCGAGGCTCCACCAGGTCGGTGCACGGTTGAGGAAAATAAATTGGAAGATGAACGCCAGCACCACGTCGATAGTTCTCATCAGGGCCACAGGTCCAGCCTTCTCAATCTGCAGGGCCTTTGTGAGGAAGGTCTGGCCGGCGATACCCAGGACAGCAATCAGCATCAGCAGCCAGCGATCGCGGCCGCAGAATGGGATTTTCCACTCCCCAAGGACGGATACAGTGATGACGCACTCGATGAACCCGATGACAGCATAGTACCAGACAGAGAGGTAGTAATGGACACTCTTCCCCATTTTGCGAAGGACAACAAATGTGAAGGCAGCTCCAATGGCTCCTATGGATAAATAGAAAATGAAAGACTGAATGAATACAGCACTCAATGTATAAACCATTAAAAAAACATATGAGACCTAAAGGACAAATAAAATACATATTTAATCTAGCGCTTCATAGCTACAGACCTCCTCCTTGTGGAATTATTTGAGCTAATTAAGTTAAACTTGTTAGCGAATCCTCTGGTGACCATTTATATCTATAGGATTTAGAGTTATGATCAAGCTGCGGGCCCAAAGACCTGACAGGAACCCGCACAGTTTCTGTTCGAGCCTGAACCTTTGCAGCAGTTTTGGGCCTGAGCCTGATTTTAAGAAAAAAAATAATTTTCACTGTAAAATATATGTATTTTTTAAAAAATATTTAAACATTTATAACAACCTAAAGTCAACTAAAGTCTTTTCAGTGCATTGACAGACATTTGAGACACAATCTCCAACCTGTGCCTTCTCCTTATTAATGTTCAGCACATCCAAAAAACTTGTCATATGCCATATACACTCACCAGCCACTTTATTAGGTACACTGCAAATAACTAATTAGCAGTTCTCTGGGTGAAAATGCCTTGCTGATGCCAGAGATCAGAGGAGAATGGCCAGACTGGTTCAAGATGATAAAAAGACAACAGTAACTCAAGTAATCACTGGTTACAACCAAGGTCTGCAGAAGACCATCTCTGAACCAACAACACGTCCAACCTTGAAGCAGATGGGCTACAGCAGCAGAAGACCACACCAGGTGCCACTCCTGTCAGCTAACAACAGGCAACTGAGGCTACAATTCACACAGGCTCCAATGGCCTTCACAGTCACCAGATCTCAATCCAATAGAGCACCTTTAGGATCTGGTTGAACGGGAGATTGGCATCATGGAAGTGCAGCCGACAAACCTGCAGCAACTGTGTGATGTCATCATGTCAATATGGACCACAGTCTCTGAGGAATGTTTCCAGCACCTTGCTGAATCTATGCCACCAAGAATTAAGTCAGTTCTGAAGGCAAAAGGGATCCAACCTGGTACTAGCAAGGTGTACCTAATAAAGTGACTGGTGAGTGTATAATAAATAGCGATTGAATAACATATCCCATTGATGAGGGACAAGAAATGAGATGAGTTACTGGCAAAACAGCCCACTGCCTACATTATTTATGACTTTACAAAGACTACGAGTGCTGCATTTAAAAATAAAAAATAAAAACTGCTGGGAAATTGGAGCAAAACTGATTTAAGCCCTGGGAAATTTTGAGAAATTTCAGCCTGGCGAGTCAGGCCCAATCAGGTTCTGGCAGAGAATTAAAGCTCTGATAGGATTACTGGTTACGGCCATTAAAGTCTGTCAATTCCACCTGCACTTTTCTCCTACTCTGGTATTTTCTGCAATGCTTCAGATTTTTTACTAAACCTCTCAACTCTTGGAATTTACAAATGCACATATAAAAAAAATCCTCAGTTTTTCTCTACAGCGAAACTGCTGGTGTCATGACATCCACCTTCTGTCAATGCCAGAATACATTTACATGTGTTGACATGTGCTGTGGAGGTCTGCTTATTTGGAGGTCTATTTTGGGGGCTTTGGTTCGTTTTAGTTGCACCTAGAAAACACAGAAAATCAGGGAAATCAACACCTCTGCTGAGTGAATCACAGATACACTCCTCATCGAAAATAACAGCTTTTCACTCACACATTTGGCGTGAAAGGCGGGTAATTTACGAATGAAGGTGGAGAGGATTGTGAGATTAATCACAAGTGAGGCTCCTCAGTTAGTGTGCTGTAAAGATACGTGACTGTGGTGGTGAAAAGAAAGGTTAACTACAAAGTGAAGCTCCTAATTTATTGGTCGATCTTCATTTGGGACACTTAGGTGGTGCAAAATAAAAAGCTCTTAGCACTTCAAAGCCAGCATTCAATTTCTATCAGGCTGATTTGACAGAAATATACGACAAATTGTTTGCAGGGGGGGAAGCCAGTGAGGGATCCTGACTTTGATGATAGACTAATGATTCCAGCTAGTGGGGAAACTCAAACACGACTGCAAGGAGACTCCCTAGAGAAGAACCACAACTAATTGGAAAGACTGTATCTCTCATCTGACCCTGACGTGCCATGGGGACATAGCTGTAGCGCACTGAATTCCCCCAGTTGCCATGGTAATCCTGACGGAGAGACGTGCCAGGAGACTGAGCATCATATTTCCTCCTGAATGATTTTACCTCCCTATCACAGTCAGAGAAACTTAACTGCTGTATAAACGCTGAGTTTATGAATCGTATCACCTGCAAAGGCAGCGATAGTCCCCTTGATGTGGTTAGTGTAGTTGCCCTCGATGCCACGTCGGTCCTCGCCAAAGAGGAACGGCGGTCGGGCGATGAGGATGACTCCAGTGATGGTGAAAACAGTGAAGACACAGTCCCAGATGGTACATCTCTCCTTGAGGAAGATCCAGGCCAGGATGGAGGTAAAGACTGGATTACTGACAGAGAAGAGAGTTTTAGTAATACATGCATGGGTACTATTAAATGAATAAAACATTCAGGTAATCTGAGAGAAGCGTTGATTATTGTCTCACACATTTGTCTCAGATCTTTCATGAGAGACATAATTAAGCAGAATTAGTGCAAATGTTAAAAAGTGTGAAAGAATGAGCACGTGAGGAGGATTAGCACAAAAAAAAGGTGGCAGTTGTACAATTCAGGGAGAATAGAATCCCTCTGTATTAGTATAATCTCCGCTAAGCCACAATCAATTAAGATCCTACCTGAACATGATGACCGTGGCGTCCGCTAGCGGCATCTGCTGAACAGCATAGAAGAGCAGGATCATGGCATTGGAGCCAATGAAACCCCGAAGCACCAGATATACACGCTTATCTCTGGGACCGAGGAAACCTGTCCTGGAGGAGCAGAGATATGAGGATGATGGATGAATGAATGGCTTGATGGATGGATGATTAGACGGACTGACAGAGGAAGTAATAAACTGAATTTTAGACGAGGAGGGATGGTGACAAATTGAGCAGCGGAGTGAGCTGAGGGATGACAAATGACAGGATGGGTGGATGGATGGATAGATGGATAAGTAATGTGGAGATGACAGTGACGGACTGATGAACGGATTGGGCTGAAGGAGAGGTGGAGAGTTCGGTATGAATTAAAGTAAAAACAAAGGGGAATGTAGAGGACGTGTGGATGGATGGATGAATAGGTAAATGAATGAATAGAAGCACTGGTGGCAGTCTTTGGGAATTTTCAAAGACATTTAACTTTGGATTTTTGGGGTCTCAATAGCCCCGATTCCACCAAACACTTTCAGTATGGTACCTTTGGAACCCTTCAAAAATGGAACCAAGAACTTAAGTCTGTTTAGCGTTTCCACCGCAAACAGTACCCTTAAATGTGGGCGGAGTTGTTGTCACTCACTGCTCCGTCCAGCACTCACTGTATTTCCTCAATTCAAGTGATACAGAGGGCATCGACATTGAAACTGGGTTGGATTTAGATGCCAGACCTGCAGCACCTGTACTTGTAATATTACTCAATGCATTAGTTGATGACATGACTCCATCAGCACACCTTAAATCTCACTGTGATAACTTTGACCATTACTTTAGTATTTATTGTCTCTCTTGGATGACATACACTTTTAGGGCGCATTCACACTGGCGCTATTTGGTCACTTTAAACGAACCCTGGTCCGGTTCCACGGATGGTGCGGTTCGTTTAGTAAGGTGTGTATGCTCATTGGAACGCTGGTGCGGACCAAACGAGCGAACCCTGGTCCGCTTGAAAACTGGGGGTCTTGGTTCAATTGCAAGGGAACCCTGGTGTGGTTCGCTTACAGTCAGAAATCCAAACGGCCTATCCAGCGAACCAAAGAGAGGAAGTGACGTAGAGCACATTGCATTTTGGGAAAAAAAAACCCCAAAGCCAACAGCGCAAACCGGGAGAAGCAGAGGTAAAAAAAAGAAAAAGTTGGAAAATGTCTCGTGGGCAGACGTGGAGTAGTGAGGAGGTGCAGGCACTTATTGATATATGGTAAGAGGACTATATATCGCAGTTGCTTGTGGCTGCCCACAATGGATTTCAGTTTTCGGTCCTGGCCAATCGATGAGCTGGGTTTTCCTCTTCTTCATGCTTTTTTGCTCACTGCTCCGTCCAGCACTCACTGTATTTCCTCATTACAAGTGATACAGAGGGAAGTCTGCATCTCGTTTATCGTCCACAGAATGAGGTTGCACGCCGACATTTTCGGAACAAAATAGAACAGGCTGCAGTGAGAGTCTCTCTCCATGGGATATTCAAAAATATCGGGTTTGTGCATTTAGTCCTTCTCAGGTAAGCTCAGGTGTTTAGTGTTGCCCACAGGAACAACTCTCCTCGACGCTTTTCTTTCTCCAATTGAGGATTAGAATATCTTTAAGATCCACTCATTACTAGGGGTGCATTCACACAAGGATAGTCCGGGGGACTCGGTTCGATTGGGCAGGGAATGCGGAAAAAGTTTCACACCTTCATTTCACTTCACTTTCTCACTGCACTTTTTAAAGTGGACCAAACTGCCTGGACAACGTCACGCAGTTACAACAGCTGCTCGTTTGGGGGCGGTATTGCCCGAAACAACTAATAACCAGGAAGCAGGAAGCGTTGCCCGAAACGACTAATGACCAGGAAGCAGGAAGCGTTCCAATGAGCATACACACCTTACCAAACGAACCGCACCAGCGTTCCAATGAGCATACACACCTTACCAAACGAACCGCACCAGCGTTCCAATGAGCATACACACCTTACCAAATGAACCGCACCATCCGTGGAACCGGACCAGGGTTCGTTTAAAGCGGACCAAATAGCGCCAGTGTGAATGCACCCTAAAAGTGTATGTCATCCAAGAGAGAGAATAAATACTAAAGTAATGGTCAAAGTTATCACAGTGAGATTTAAGGTGTGCTGATGGAGTCACGTCATCAACTAATGCATTGAGTAATATTACAAGTACAGGTGCTGCAGGTCTGGCATCTAAATCCAACCCAGTTTCGATGTCGATGGGCAATGGCGAGTGCTGAATTTAAAAAAATTCTGTATGTCGCATATCTGCTACACAAACAGTAGGTTACATCATTGCGAATATGTCAACTCATTTACGCCAATAACAGCCAAGTGTGTCAAACAGTGGAACTAGATGAAGGCAAGAAGCAACACAAGCTACCTGTGGAAATCTAAATGTTTGAGTTTCTCCTTGGTGCTTACTTGTGGTAGATGAGTAATGGCATAGTAAAGAGTATCTGGAAGAAGCAGCGTATGGCGCTGATCTCTATGGCGTGGATTCCCTGGATGGTTTTCACCAAGAGGGCAATGGTGGAGAAGAAAACTGTGGACAGGAACGCATAAAACAAACCAAGACCTGAACATTTCTTTGGTGTCTCCGAATCTGCGAAAAAGAACAAAAGGAGAGAGTCAAAGAACGAGCAGGAGGGTATAGAAGCAGAGAAAAAAGAGAGGAAGGCGTCCTGAGAACGATATCACTATTTCACATTTCATTTAACAGAAATAAAAAAATAAAAACATTGTTTTCTGTGTCAAGCTTACGTTGATACAGTAACTGCAGGGTGGAGCAGGGAAGTTTAAAGTGTGTTATTGAACTCCATTTGGCCCGGGTGCGAAACTCGGTTGATTTAGATAGATTTGCACAAGACAGCGGTGTTGTGTTTGCAAACCCTGCCTGTGGAACAATAAACTGATATGCTTGTGGAGATTAAATTCCAACCTGAGGTCTCTCAGACATCTTCCTTTGTGTTTGTCCACAATGTGTGGTCTACTTTCATTTACCAATGATATAGGGCATTTGTTTTCTCAACCTTGCACCGAGCCAAAAACTTCTCTTTTTTTATTCTTAGCTATAATATAATGCCTCGTAGGCACAGACAGAGAGATTATCACAGTGTTATATTACTGCATTAGTATTACAGCATTACACTTTTCAGATTTGACTTGGACGATAGAATTTTGTATCACATTATATAAGGATGGGGGCAAAAAATTGATACAGCATAGCATTGCGATATTTTGCATGCCCCCTCCCCAAAAAAAAAAATTACAAAATTTTTCTGCTTTGAGTACTTTTACTTTTTATATTTAATTATATTTTAATCTACATTTTCTTGATTTATAGGTATATACACTCACCAGCCACTTATTAGGTACACCTATTCAACTGCTTGTTAATGTAAGTAGCTAATCAGCCAATCACATGGCAGCAACTCACTGCATTTAGGCATGTAGGTATGGGCAAGACGACCTGCTGAAGTTCAAAGTGAGCATCAGAATGGGGAAGAAAGTTGATTTAAGTGACCTTGAACTTGGCATGGTTGTTGGTGCCAGATGGGCTGGTCTGTGTGTTTCAGATTTTCACACACAACCATCTCTAGGGTTTACAGAGGATGGTCCGACAAAGAGAAAATATCCAGTGACTGAAACTATATCTGAAATAACCACACGTTACAATCAAGGTATGCAGATGATAATCTCTGAATGAAATACACGTCAAACCTTCAGCAGCAGAAGACCACACCAGGTGCCACTCCTGTCAGCTAACAACAGGAAGCTGAGGCTACAGTTCACACAGGCTCACTAAAACTGGACAATAGTAGATTGGAAAAACGTTGCCTGGTCTGATGAGTCTGGATTTCTGCTGCTACATTCAGATGGTAGGGTCACAATTTGGCGTAAACAACATGAAAGCATGGATCCATCCTGCCTTGTATCAACGGTTCAGGCTGGTGGTGGTGGTGTAATGGTGTGGGGGATATTTTCTTGGCACACTTTGGGCTCCTTAGTACCAATTGAGCATGTTTTAAACACCACAGCCTACCTGAGTATTGTTGCTGACCGTGTCCATCCCTTTATGACCACAGTGTACCCATCTTCTGATGGCTACTTCCAGCAGGATAACGCACCATGTCACAAAGCTCAAATCATCTCAAACTGGTTTCTTGAACATGACAATGAGTTCACTGTACTCCAATGGCCTCCACAGTCACCAGATCTCATTCCAATAGAGCACCTTTGGGATGTGGTGGAACGGGAGATTCACATCATGGATGTACAGCCGACAAATCTGCAGCAACTGTGTGATGCTATCATGTCAATATGGACCAAAATCTCTGAGGAATGTTTCCAGCACCTTGTTGAATCTATACCACGAAGAATTAAGACAGTTCTGAGGGCAAATGGGGTCCAACCTGGTACTACCAAGGTGTACCTAATAAAGTGGCCGGCGGTGTACTTTTACTTAAATAACATCTTCAATGCAGGACTTTTACTGGTAACAGAGTATTTCTACAGTGTGGTATTAGTACTTTTATTTCAGCAAAGGATCAGAATACTTCCTCCACCACTCCTAGTACTAGTGTCAGTCTTTCTTCCTCAAGTGCTCCGTGACATCATTTTCCATCAGGTGCAAAGGGTAAAGAAAGGGCATTTCTCACTTCCTTGTAAACTTCCAAGACAAAGCCAAACTCCGTCTGGGCATTGATTTAGTGTCCCTAGAGCCAGGTGGAACATATAGTCCAGTCAATATAACTTAAGACAGAGTCCATCCCAGTAGGAATTGCAATAGTAATGTTTCTTAGTTTTAATGGTCCTATTACCCTCCTGCATCATATATTAAAAGTATACCTTCATGGATTTAGTATAATGTTCCATTTTCAAGCTCAAAAGAAAAATTTCTACATTTTACAGAGACATGGTTTGGGTGAAATGATGTTAATATTGGAGAGTCTCTGTACACCTATCAAACATATTTGGTGTCTTTTCCAAAGTTTTTGGGGTCAATCTTTCCAAGAACACACTTTTCAAGAGGATATACTGATGACAGACCTACATTAGAGGTACTACTACACAACAACTGTTTTTTTGCCAACTTTTCCACTTACAGGTTGCACCACACTGCTCCTATAGGTGTGTCCGCATCTAAACTGGGCATAAATTATTCTCTATTTAGTATCTATAACGTCATCATTCATTGCAAGTTTAGGATTTAAATAGGGGATTGTTGTGCAGGGGAGGTGAAGGGTTGGGTTGACGTGGAGAAACAGAGTGTGTGTGTTTTCATGGACGAACACATTTGTATATGCAGGAAATTGAATGATAATATGCTTTATAACCTAATTTTATTGATTTTGTTTGAATTCAGAAAAAGGGCACCCCCTAATCACACATATACATTCAGAACAGGTCATATCTGATGGTTATATGTGGTCGGAAAAAACATCCAAAAAAACTAATGTGTAGACATAAATTGTATGAAAATATTGTGTTCAGAAGCAGAGATATGTACTTCTTTGAGAGACCATAATGGCCCCAAATTTTGAGCCCTGAATTTTTTTATACTTTTAATATGTTATTTGGTTGCCCCAAGAGATCACAAAAAAACCTTGAATGATTAGCATTGCAATTTCCCCTGGGTCAAACCACAGATCTATTTATCAGTCTATCTATGAACCTATATATCTATCTATCAATCCATCCATCCATCTATGAACTTATCTATCTACGAATCTACTTATCTATCATCTATGAATCTATCTATGAACCTATTTATCGATCCATGAACCTATTCATTTTTTAATCTATCTGTCTATCTACCTATGATCCATCTATCTATCCACGAACCTATCTACAAATCTACCTATCTATCTATCTATCATCTATGAACCTATCTATTGATCCATGAACCTATTCCTCTATGAATCTATCTATCTACCTGTGAACCTATGATCCATCTCTCTATCACCTATATATCTATGAATCTATATTTATATTTATAAATCTATCTATGACCCTTTCTATCTATCTATCTATCTATCTATCTATCCATCCATGAACCTATTCATCTATGAATCTATCTAGCTGTCTATCTACCTATGAACCTATCCATCTCTCTATCATCTATATATCTATGAATCTATATATTTATTCATCCACCTACCTACCTATCTATCTATCTATCTATCAAATACTACAGTTGTGATGGTCCTAGAGTGGCCCTTTGAAAAGTGCACAGTCATCCTTCCTCTTTAAAGGTGATGTAATTGTTAAGATGGCTTACAACAGCTTATCCTTATGTGCATCATACTTGTTATTAGGCAGAATTAAAAGATAAGGACCACCATCAGTTATTGCTGTTTATTCGGGAAATAATAAACAACCATAAAAGGACCATTAAAACCATAATTTAAAATGATTTCTCAGCTCACATCAGTGGGGACCAGATTAACTGTGACGTAAAGCTCATTATGAAATATGTAATTTGTGCCCGCAATGATAAAGAAGTGTGTAAAAAATGTGTAGTGACTTTCAACAAATCTCAGCTAATAGGCTAATAGCCTCCACGTGATATCAGCACCCGCTTAAACTGATAGTACATGACGTTACACGGTTGTATAACGTGAGGCTGTCACGCAGGAAGCCATTGGTTGCTTTACAACTGTATTTCTGTGTCGTCTTCCCATCACAAAGTTTACACACAAGTGATGTGAGAATGGACAGACACGTTATCACTTCAGTTTTAACTGTCTAAGTGCGTGCGCTCTTCTACCTTCACGTGCGCTTCCGTCTCGGGATGCGAGCCCGCTTCTGACGCAACACACCAGCGGACAGAGCGTTTTCTCCTCGCTGCCTTCCGGTGAATCCTCGCGTCCTCCCGCTTCTCCCTCGGCGGCATCACAGTCGTTTTCCCACGACACACGGCAGTTACTCTGCAAGTGAATCCTCTCTGTCGTCCGTTCATCATCGCCGTTGTCGTCGTCGTCGTCGTCGCGGTCGTCGTTGCAGTTCGTGCTATGGCTGTCAACTTTGTGGAACACGACGGTGACGCCGTCCTCTACGGACAAAGCCCGGCCGGGTGTGCAGTGGTTACAGTCGCCCATGGTAAGATGAGACGGCCGAGCGGCAGCATGCCTTGGACAGAGCGCTGTCCGCTTTCTTCGGTGCCCTGAGTGACTGCGAAGACAAGGTTAATGACTAACCTCGGTGGCAGGAGACTAACTCCCATGCGGTGGTTACTTTACCCACAGGGGGGCAGAACTGAACCCAGAGCACCTCAGCTGTGGGACGACTATAACATTACCCAACGTGTACGCCCATAGCAGAGGGAGGCAGTGGAGGACTGAGCCAACCAAAACACAGCTCACACACATTTGGGCTGACAGACGTCTTTATGTATCACAAGTAAATTTGAAACTGTGTGTGTGGCTTATAATTTTGACGTCATATGGAGTCAAACTTAGGATATGGTTCTAACTATGAAGTCAAAACATTGAAGTTTTAGGACATTTGTCAAACTGAATCACAACTTTGACTCATGAGATGTTGGCCTGGGAGCATCAGAGTATCTGCTGAAAGTAAGTTATGTTATTGTTCACACTGCCAAACCCACTGTGGGTTCACCACAAGGTCACCCAGTACATTCAGCACCCAGGGCAAGCTTCCCCTGGTGCCCCCCTCCCCCTCAAAACAATAAACAAATGAGAAATCAACAAGAATAAACAACATGGCTAAAAAAATCTTGCAAAATTTTTTGTTTTGCGCCCCAGATTATATTTTCTCCTACTCTAATCCTACTCTAATCCTCTCCACTCCACCATACCCATAAAGGCTCCAGCTAAGGGTGGGCGAAATTGCCCTAAAACGATACCACAATATTTAAGGGTATTTTTGGGATAACAATATTCTTGACAATATGAGAAATTAGTAAAGAAACAATTTCAGATATTCAGTAAAAAGTTAAGTTTGTAAACAGTAACTCAAAGTGAGATTCAGATTATCAGAGTAGACAATATTAATAGTTTAACAAAATAAAATCTACCACAAATTACACATTTAAACAGATCCCAGATACAAAAAATGTACCCTGGGATCTATATATATAAATCAACAGGTGAGTTCCTTCTCTTTTAGCAAAAATTTCTAGTAATTGAGTTGGGGTTTTTTTCCACCTGGACCTTTATGCTCTGCCATTTCTCCTCTAATCATCACGCTGTAACCTGTGACAGGCTGTTATGATACCAGAACTATCGCACATTCACATATATGTAGTATTTATCGAGCCACGAGTGTCACGTAGCTTTACATTACCAAAGGTTTATGACAAAATCACTTGACGACACTGACTCCTGTGTGCAAACAGCGAGAGAGGAGAAGGCGAGACGCTAAGCTGCTGCCAGAGGAGCTGCTGAATGAGTTCCCTCTGAGCGGTAACTCGCTAAAAAAGCCTGAGAAGTCCGGGCTGTTCATGAAACATTCAGGACGCCACAGTTTATTCCACACTACTGAAGCTGCTCCAATTTTTGGAACCAGTCAGTAATAATTTCACATAATAAAATATAAACATAATAACACAGCTAATTGGCCAATGTGTTTCAATAGTTAGCTAACTAGTTCACCTAGCTGTTATGGACCGGTGGCACAATAAAGGCCTTTGTACACTGAGTCCATTTTTTTCTGATGCGTTTTTTTTAATCCATTATTCAAAAAATAATCATTAGGCACAGAAACCTTTCACACTGGTTGTGATGTGTTCTGTTGTTCTAGTTGCCAAAAAATTGCAATACGTGACAAAATGAAAAGACACTCCCTCCTTTTGTCCCTCTCCACTTGAGTTGCTGTTCTGGATGTCACCACTCCCTTCCTGTCTTTCATTTGGCGCCACAGCTGCATGAAGGGGTGGAGCTGTCCTCCACATTCTGTGTGCAGTCCACATCCTCCTCTTCTTCATCATCATCCCATTGAACATTACCATCTGAGTTATGAAATGATTCTGTGCTTCCCGTTCCTCTGTCTTGTCATGGATGCGTCCCGCTGCCACATTTTCTTCACTGATTCTTGGTCTAATGTCTCTGATAGATGTGAAAAGCGCAGAAAAATCATACCTCTTCCGAAAACTTTGATGACGGACAGAAGTTTCGGACTCAGTGTGCAAACGTGATTGACACAACATGAGATCGTTGGGGTTTTTTTTAATTGGAAAAAAAAAACGGATTCAGTGGGCAAAGGGCTTAGTGTTAGCTACAGCTTGTGATTGCACAAGGATTCATAGGTAACAGTTAGCTTATCATTATCATCATGTTATTTACTGTACACATGTTTTTGTTGTCGTTTGTTTTAGAAATTGGCCAATTTATCTTTAATAATAGTATGTTGGAATCATGTTTTCAGACATGTTTTAATTTAAAAATATTAAAATATATGAATAAATGAACATTAAAACTTAATTAAATTACCAAACAATAATTTGGCGGCATCCCTGCAGTAACTCTGACGAACCCCTAGGGGTTGCAGACCTCCTGTTGAAGACCTAGGACCTAGCATATTCATTGATGAACTAAATGGACCAGCGGTGGTACCCCTACTACAGACTGACTGTTAGCGATAGAACTTTGGATTAGAGGTGAGGGTGGGCTGCCTATGTTGCCGAAAGGCCACCATTTAGGCCACTTTGTTTTTTTTTTGTTTTGTTTGTTTGTTTGTTTTATCACCACAGCGATAACTTTTTAGGACAAAACTGGACGTCAGTGAACTGAACTGTAAATATACGTTATCAAATATAATCATAAATTAATGAAGACCGTGTGAGTTGAATGGTAGTTGACACCAATCCAGATTTACTGTTTGAGCAATAAAACATGGTTTATACTGGTGAAACAATAACAATAAAAAAATTCAAACCTCTGATTTGTCATTTTAGTGTTTTATTACCACTGTACATAAAATACAATGAGCAGGACGACAAAGGAGTATCTAATATCCTCTATCCTCAACAAACTAGATTAGACTGACACAAGTAAGCCTACACTGTTCTGCAGAAGAAGCATGTTACACAGCATTTAAGCACGTGATCCTTAATCTACACTAAACTCTACATCTATGAAAAATAAAACACTGAGTGTGGTCCCCTCTACATACAAAAGCAACATCATATAAATTACTTTACACAGTATTGTAAAAACGTAAACATTATATTTGGCAAATCAGTGACGTCGTTAGTTGTTATGAGAATTCAGCTTTCCTTTGTGTCAGAGTAAGAGGACCGTGTGAAAGCACAGGTACCAGGTGCCGCACAGTGGGTGGCTTTTTTTTAGTTGCGGAGTAAAGACAACAATGGTTTTGTCAATGAGGGAGAAAAGGGCAAGAGTGCAGTGAAAGAGGGAGGGCGAGGTGACACACAGTGGGACGCTTCTAGCAAGTCATTCATCAGGAGTCAACACCATGAGTGTCTGTATCATGCATGCAGTCTTGCTCAACTGATGGTCGTGGAGTAGACAGAAAAGAAGGTGTTTATTCTCAGTTTCTCACAATGCTTAGTGGATTCCTAATTTAATATATGCTGGAGTCACTTCTATTAGGAGATAATCACAAAACACTGATGGAAATAGGTTGACGGGATGCCAAATTGCGCTGGACGAATGCAAATAACTGTCATCAAATAAGCCTAGCCCAAACTTAACCTGCATTTGGTTGAATGCTTGTTATTTTTCAAGCTCAGGTCTTATATTGTAACAAACTACCCCTAATGTTGCTGCTGCTACACTGGGTAAATTTCCAATTTGAAAAAACTTCTTGTACATGTGTGAAAGCGCCCATCGTCCACAAGGTATCTAACAACCCAGGCTTTGTCAGAAGTGAGTCTTATGACCGATTGTTTCATGTATATCTCACTAGCTTACATTCCACTGTGAATAATCTCTTGTAAGGACATTTCACTCTGAAATCGATTTTCCTGAAATGCTTGTTAAATTAAAGAAGAGTTTAAAGAAAAAAATCCTCTTCTGTCTTTCATTTTTCTAGAAAAACTCTACAATCTGAACACCTTTGCCTATTATTGCCTGGTCATTACTACTATCAAACTCCTAAGTCTTTCCTATCACATTCCTACAACAGAAATAAAAATAATGTATGGAGATGAATACAGAAGTATACTCTGTGTCTATTAACTGCAAGGTCACCTGTAGGTTTGAATCAAAGACCAAAGCAGTGAGTTCATAGCTTGTTTTTCCTGAAAGATAGTCAGTTCGCACTCTGAGTGGAATTACAAATGGAGTATAAGGCATTTCTAAATAGTGAGTATTCAAAATGAATGAGTTTATCAAAATTAAGTAACTGCAGCTGGCTGCTGAACATAGGCATCAGGGACTGTGTAGAATATATTTTCTATGTTATGCGAATGGTGTCAAATCTCTTAAAGGGTGGGTATTTTTCATTTTTCCAGTATTGAGCGACAGGGCTGCAACCAGCAGCTGTGAAACAGGCTGCAGTATATTCACCTGGGGCAATTGTGCACTGTCAATTTACGTCCACTAAAAGTGCTTGTTTTTGCCACTGACTGGCTCAGATTGTTATATTAAGTGTCTTCAACATTATCGAGTGATGGCAGTGTCGGCAGCCGGAGTCGGGCCAGCTGATTCGATCCAATTCTGGGGTGTCATTCATACAGATTCTCAGCCGAGTCAAGCAACTAGTTGCGGCATGGCTATTTTCATCCATTATGCCGAGTTTGGGCCAATGCTGGGCCAGGTCGTGTCTGATAATGGCCCAGTGATGGCAGCCAGAATCAGGCCAGCTGATTTGGCCCAACTCTGGGGCGTCTTTCATGTTGAGTCTCAGCTGACTGGGGCAACCAGACCCAGCCCGGCTAATTTCATCTGGCAGTTCGGGGGTCCGGAGGTTCAGGCCGATTCTAGGCCAGGTCATTTTGGCTACCTGGGTATGGGAAGGAATCCCACAAGGAGAGACCTGTTTTTAAAGGGTAAGGTCTTTTTGTGTAACAAGTAACAGCCCCAATATCTGCATTGCCAAACCCACCAGACTAAATAAAAAAACAGTAATTTTAGTGTGTATAGAGGCAGCATATTTTCACATCCAACTGGGTGAATTAAGAGTTTATTTCAACCAAACCAGAGTTGGTAAATGTTGGAACAGTGTAAAGATGAACCAAATCGACATTTACAAGTATTTCTCTGTTTCTTTCAACTTTGAATGAAGTGTGTTTTATGATGATAAAACTACTGTTTCTGTAAATGGAGTCTGGTGGCTTTGGCGATGTTGATTTCAAGGCTGTTTCTTGTTTAACAAAGAGTTCTATCTCTGTAGGGATCCTTTCCTTAATGTTGTCAGACACTGTGAATAACAATCTGAGCCTGTCAGTGGCAAAAACAAACATGTTTAGTGGACATAAATTGACAGTGTCCAGTTGCCCCAAGTGATTACATTGCAGCATGTTTCGCTGCTGCTGCTGCTGCAGCCCTGATTAGCTCAATACTGGACCAACTTCAAAAATTGTTGTTCCCATTAGTCACTTAGACACAAAATCATTGGAAAACAGGGTTCAGGTTGAAAAATATCACAGTTACCCTTTAAAAAACTCAGTGGTCATAATCTCAATCTAAAGGTCCTGAACTGCATTTGAAATACCTCTTTAGATAGTTTCAGCTCCTGCATAAAACTTCCTTTTGTTTAAAGTAAGGTGGAATTTGCTGGTGGTTTCTAATGGGACTAAAAAGTTCAACACATGACAGAATGAAAGCATTTGAATGGTAATGTACATACTTTGTCCCAAACTGACGATGGGTTTAATTACTCAGATCGATCATAAGGTGCTCATAGATCTGAGTTTTTCCCTTGAAGCTGGATGCGAGCAGGAACACCCGGTCGTCAATGGAAACCAGAGAAAATGCTCGAGGTGCTTGGATATTCAGCTCCTGAGATGGGACAAAGTGGCCCCTCTCGGTGTCCCATTGGTAGACCTGCGTCAGTGAATAATCACTGCCCAAGATGGCATACTGCCAGTTGCCGATGGAGACAGGCTGGAACACCATGGAGCCGCGGGAAGGAAATGTCTGGACCTCCTTGAACATGGCACCGTCCCAGCGCATCACCTTGGAGTCTCCGATGAATCTTGTCAAGCATATAAAGAGCTCACCTTTGAAAAGATTCAAGGGGCACTTTAGGTTACACATGAAGCTGCTAAATCTGGATCTGAAGTAGGAATGCTCACAAAAACAGTCTAAGTAATTCCAAAAGTATCATAGAAATCATAGGAAATATTTTATTGTGTATTTTTGCATGCAAAAGGCAGAAATTTGTCTTTAATTTTGCATGTGCAAAATCTGCTATTAAAAAAGGTACATTAAAATACATCATATCACATCCAAACAGGACACATTAAAAGGGACAGTTTATCTCAAAATTAAATATAGATATTTTTCCTCTTACCTGTAGTGCTATTTATCAGTTTAGATTATTTTGGTGTGAGTTGCAGAGTGTTGGAGATATCAGACGTAGAGATGTCTGCCTTCTCTCCAATATAATGGAACTAGATGGCACTCAGCTTGTATTGCTCAAAAAGCACCATTAATACATTTGAAAAACTCAACAGCAATGTCTCTTTTCAGAAACCATGACCTGGTTACTCAAGATAATCCACACACCTTGTTGTGAGTAGTTTCTTGTAGGAACTCTTTTCTTTCTACCAAATTACACCTGCCAACTCTGTCACTGTGCAGAAGGAAGTGTGCATCTACTCATGGACAAGAGGCTTGTGCTTGTGAGCACAAATATGCTGAGCTATAACCAGACTACCAGGAACACCACTCAGCCGAGCTTCCAATTTTTCCCAGTGGCCATTCAAAACGTGTAGTTACATTTCTGGGGAAGTGCACGTCAGGCTATGGCGTAGGGTACAGGGTCGATTAGACCCTACCGGCAGTAGATGCATGCTTCATGCTGTGTAGTGATACAGTTGTAGTTCAGTAGAAAGAAAATAGTTCCTACATAAAACTGCTTACAGCATGGTCTGTGGATTATCTTGAGTAACTGGGTCATGATTTCTGGAAAGAGACATTGCTGTTGAGTTTTTAAAATGTATTTTTTGGGCGCTTTGAGCACTACAGACAGACATTTCAACGGCCGATATCTCCAACACTCTGTGGTTCAAACCAAAACAGAACAGAACCAAACTAGATGGATAATTATCGCTACAGGTAAGAGGAAAAATATGTGCTTGTGATTTTGGGATGAACTGCCCCTTTAAAACACATTTACATAAAAACACAATACACAATAGGTGTAATTAAAAGAAACATCCGATACTTGATAGTGAGGACTGAATCAAGGTTAAATAAATATATACACAAAGTGCTGTGTGCTGATGTAGCAGCTGGCTTCCAAATGTGGCTGTCCGAACTGATTAAGGTATTTCATGGCAACAGGGACAAACGATTTAGTGTAGATGTTTTTCTTTGCACAGGGGACTCCGTACCTTTGCCCTGACAGCAGCAGCGGAAAGTAGTGCTTGTTATCTATAGCTACTTAGCAAAGCGTCACTAATAGATAAGCTTTCCCTTTAAGAAAACAGAGAATATTACACAGTGATGATTTATGGGCAGGTTTTATAGCAGTGGACAGTGACATTGCCTCTTACTACCTTTTAAGTGTGAGACATAAATGTTTTTATTTAATTAGCAGCATGAAAGGAAATGTTGACTCTGGATTAAAGTCTACTGTTACTCACATGACACACCTTGTCTTAATCTTAAAATAAAAAACTGAATCTAATTAAAAACTAGAGTATATCTACCAAGGACAAAGGAACTCACAACAGCTGATACTGTGATATCATATGGTTAGAATTTGCTTGCAGTGAACACAATGTCCTTTTAGTCAGAGCAGAAATAAACCCTGCATGTGTACATACACTGTTACTCAAGCTGCAGCTCTCACCTTTGACCCGGAAGTGTTTGACAGAGAAGACGTCCTCCATGTCCGGTATGTCAGTCCTGCGGTCAAACTGTTTCTGGCTCCTGTTCCATTGGTAGACGACAGGCCTCTGAGAGCTGCTGGACAAGATCAGGTGGGGTTTGTTGGAGATCTCCAAATACTCTACGTCTGTGTCCCGGAACCACGGATGGAGGGACTGGTGGGAGTAGAAGCCATTGCCGTTCCATTTGTACACCGTTGTGGAGCCGGCCTGTGAGAGGAACACGTACAAAATGTCGGAACAGGTCAACTTTATTCAGAAAGTATAAGTATGTGGCCAGAATCAGTGTGTGTGTGCGTGTGTGTGTGTCTGTGTGTGTGTGTCGAGAGCCTGAGTGTCCCCAAACATATGTGAGAGCATATGCTAACACTTGGCAACGCCAGGGTAATCAGCAGGAGCAGACGCACACCGACATGCTGCAGAGAAGGACACCAGGGGGAAGGAATGGCTGACACGGTGTGAGGACTAGCTTAGAGGAGCAGTACGCATATCAGGGCCGGACACAATAACAGAAACACCTCCACAATGTTATGTAATCAGACATCATAACCTCAAGTACTTTCCAGTATTAGGAGAGCAAAAAGTAGCCAACCTTTGAGCTGTCAGCGATGACGAAGAAAGACTCTCCGTCGATCATGAACGTCTCGATGTCGTTAGGTTTGCGAATCTTCAGAATGTCAATGTCCTGGATCTTGATGAACTTGTTGGCAGAGGTGTCGCGTTTGTAAATGTGCGAGCCCCCAAACAGCTGGGCCACGATGACAAAGAGGTGGTTGTCAATCACCATGGGCTTGCACACCACAGTGGAGGTGCCTGAACAAGGAAAGAGAAGACAAGACACACAAAAACTTTACAAGTAATGGACAGATAATCACTTCTACTAGAGTATTATGTCCCTATTAACAATGAGAGGAACACTCAGAGAGGGCAGACCTCTTCGATGAAATGTGGATCTGCAAAGTGATACCACGATATATGTTTGGATATATTTCCAAAACTCATTATTTCATTTCATTTTCTGTAACCGCTTATCCTGTTGGGGGTCCCGGGGGGAGCCTATCCCAGCTGACATTGGGTGAGAGGCAGGGTACACCCTGGACAGGTCGCCAGACTATCACAGGGCTAACACATAGAGACAGACAACCATTCATGCTCACATTCACACCAACGGGCAATTTAGAGTCACCAGTTAACCTGCATGTCTTTGGACTGTGGGAGGAAGCTGGAGTACCTGCAGAAAACCCACGCTGACATGGGGAGAACATGCAAAGACTGCACAGAAGGGCTCCCGCACCATGGGTTCGAACCACAAGCCCTCTTGCTGTGAGGCAACAATGCTAACTACTGTACCTCCATACCATCAAGTCATTATCTCATTACCATTAACCATGTTCATGTTTAGAACTCTTTTATTTTTGCAGATTCTTGAAGTGAATAGTGGTCAGTGGTTTGTTGAAAATGGAGAAATTTGAGTATCACACTATGCCACAGTCAAACACTGGGTACAAGAATTCAAGCGTGGCAGGGAGAGTATTCAAGCTGAGCTGAGGTCAGGGAGACCATCAACTGCCAAAGAAAACCTTGACCTTACTCTGGACACAATCATGCAAGATCGCCGATCAGATCATATTCTCAAGAATGAGCCTGGCTTCTCAAAAGTTTCCGTTCGATGGGTCCCACGTCTTTTGACTCCTGAGCAGAAGCGCGCTCGGTGTCAGTGAACAATCTGAAACTGTTTGAATCTCATATGGACAATTTTCCTGCTATGGATGAGTGCTGGGTCCACCACCATCAGCCTAAAACAGTCAAAGCAATGGAAGAATGCATCATGTCCCACGCCAAAGAAGGCCAAGGTCACGCCTTCAGCTGGGAGGTGATGGCATCAGTTTTTTGGGATTCCTGAGGTTCAGTGCTGATTGATTTCTTTGAAAGGGGTCATACCTGGGGTGTTGGTGGTTTAGTGGTAGAGCAGGCGCCCCATGTACAAGGCTGTTGCCGCAGCCGCCCGGGTTCGAGTCCAGCCTGTGGCCCTTTGCTGCATGTCATCCCCTCTCTCTCTCTCTCTCTCCCCCCCTTTCACACTTAACTGTCCTGTCCATTAAAGGCAAAAAATGCCCAAAAAAAATATCTTAAAAAAGAAAGGGGTCATACCATCACCGGAGACTATAACTCTGACCTACTGAAACGCCTCAGAGAGAATATCTGAGAAAAGAGGTGAGCAATGCTGACCAGAGGAATCATCTTCCATCATGACTACGCTCCAGCCCACACCTCAGAACTTTTGAGTCACCCTTTGTACCTATGTACAAATATCTAATGCTTAGACGGTAATAGCATGATATGTGTGTATTTATGTTTCCATAGTTCCTTAGTTTGAGAAAAAAAAGGCATTGTTACAATTGTACCACTTCTTGCACTAAACAAATGTCCTCAAGTGCTTCATAGCAACAGAGTTTAAGCAACTGCATGTGTAGGCTACCCCAGAGGATTACTGCTACCTTTGAATGTAGATTGGGATATAAAGTCATTGTATTTCTAAAATTATCTATGTTTTATCACTGTTGAATTTCAATACCATCAACTGGATTTTGAGAGATTTATGGCATTTATTTGTCTGAGGCCCTATCTCGCAATGTTTGCAAAGGTGAAGAATAATTTGTGTATCTGCACAGTCATTCGCTCCAAAATTGTATAGGTTCTTTCTTGGCTTATGCTACACCCAGAGTCTTCAACATTTTTCAGGTCAAGGAACCCTAAGCTGAAAGCCAGATGGAGCAGGGACCCCTTAATACATTCATACAATTGAGCTGCATGTTAAACTGGGCCTGCAAAAACATGTAGGGCAGCCTGAAGTGCCATGTATATACATACCTTTATATGGTGCATACATTACTAAGCTATTAAAAAAAATAAATGTCTACAGATTTATATATTTAAACTTTATGGATGGATTCCCCCATGATGACATTATCGCTACTCTTTTATTGTTTATGTACTCACTTTCAATGGTGTCATACGTTCTGAAGGTCATCTCAACGTGATCCCATTCCAGGAAGCTGCATGTCCCAGCAAACGGTTGGGCAAACACCACATACTGATCTTCACCGAAGGTGAAGGCCCCCACCGAAATGGACTCAAACTTCAGCGACTGATAGGAGGCAAACTCTGAAAAGTTGGACAATGAATTATGTGCTTTATCTTGAAATGATCCTTTCGTATTGATTCATTCCTCCATAAACAGGTAGGAAGACCAAAGCAATAACATTTCTGCTTTGTTCTCAGCACTGGCATCAGCACAGTAAGGAAACCAGAGGGAAAAGGGTGAGGCAGTTATTTGGTGACAGAGAGCTATACTCTTAGTATAATGTTCTATGACTGGGGGGCAGATACAGGAGGACAATACCTGCTGTGATGCAGTCGAAACTGTGTGGCAGCAGGTCATTGATCTTCTTCCCCTGGTGAATGGGTGGACCGCTGCAGTAGATCTGGTCCAGGGTGGCATTAGTGTGGTGCATCCACTCTACCAACCACTTGAGCTTGCAGTCACATATCAGGTTGTTGCCACGTAGATCACTACATGTGTGGACAGGTCACATGGGACATGGTTTAACACATTTGTTGAAGGAATACCTTCAGCCAAAACTTGACAATTTGTATATCAGTTACGTTTAATTCAGGCCTCCATGATGAATAAAGAATCCATAAACGGGGAAAAGTCTTGATGAATAGAAGTCATAGGGGTCCACATTTAACAAGAGCGAAACTATATCAAAACATCCATTTACAAACTGACAACCTATGCAGTACAATCCAAGTCTCATTTATCCAGTCATATGCTCAGTACTTCCCAAACAGTCAGCCCTTTCTGACAGAGAACTGAGTTGAAAGTGAAACTGCTCTAGACTCCATTGACAAAAAGAGTAATTGTACCTCGCTGAACACGGGAGTTGCTGGTCTACCGCTACTTCAATCAGTTGGTTTGTTCGTGTTATTGTGTGAGTTTAGTGTTTTAGGTTAGTTAGGATTCATCAAAGTCACACAATAACACAAACGACCTAACTGTTGGAGGCAGTGGTAGACCAGCAGCTCACGTGTTCAGCAAGGAAAAATTGCTGTTTTTGTCAATGGAGTCTGGCTCTGAGGAGAGCATAGATAAGTTTCACTTTTAGTTCAGTTCCCTGTCGGAAAGGGCTGTCTGTTTGAGAAGCACTGAGCATGAGTGAGATGGATTATACTGCATGAGTTGTCTGAGAGTCTGTAAACAGATGTTTTGACATAGTTTTGCTGTTGTTTAAAGCCACAGTGTGTAGGAATTTCTCCCATCTAACGGCGCTACTGCCGCATAACAAAGTCCCACTCTTTGAGCATAATGCAGGATCATGTATTATGCAGCATCACGGGAGACGGAATCCTCGTCGCCAAGAAAGTGCGAAAGGGAATCAAAAAGGCAGCGTGACTGGTGAATTAAAAAAACAAGGGTCAGCATTGGGATTGCCTTTCCCAGGTGGAGAGAGCTGCTGAATGAGAAAGGTAATACAATCACAGACCAGCGCTAACAGCGGCTAACAGCGGCTAACAGCGGCTAACAGCTAACAGCGGCGCAGTGATGCGAGGAGAGGGATGAGGCTGTTAGCGACTGGCCGCTAACAGCGGCTAACAGCGGCGCTGGTCTGTGATTGCATTACCATTCTCCCTCAGCAGCTCTCTCTACCTGGGAAAGGCTACCCCGATGCGAGCCTTCGTTTTTTTTAATTCGCCGGTCACGCTGCCTTTTCTATTCCCTTTTGCGCTTTCT